TCATGTTCTTTATGCTTATTGTATGTACAATTAATTTAGCAATATTTACCAGAATTTCTTTGCTTTTCTATACATTAGTCTTTGAAAAAAAAAGTTCTTTTCAGAACACCAAAAATTCGACGTTTTTCTCGTGTTATACGAATATTTTAAGGTTATGTTACGAGTGTTAAATTTTTATTTCTTGTAGTTTTGTGTAAAGTTTCTGTTTACACTGAAACAATGAGACAGGAAACAGAGCTGGGAAATGACCATTCCGCGACTTTTTGTTTCGGCAAGCTGAATTTATCACCATAGATGCTAAATATTATGTACAATAACATATTAGTTTCCACAGTCATAAAAATGGAGGAAAGATTGTTTACAGGGTGGTCAATTGTATAATTTTTACGTAAATTCACGTTTTTCACTTATAACTTTTTCCGTTCATTTTCACGAGAAAATAGTGAAGTACTTTTTCTCGTCTTCAAAATACCTACAAAGCGAGCTTCAAAAAATATTGATTATGTCAAAAGTTATAAACCAGGGGTCGGCAACCTATGACCCGCGGGTCACCGAGTGACCCATTTACTAATTTCAAGTGACCCACTTTATTTCCTAAAAAAAGTATAATATATAAAAATAAATTATAAAACATAAACATGCAACGATTATTTTGAGAATAAAAAAAAAATTGAAAATAGATACTTTGTTTTTGCGTGCATGTCAATCTTGAAATAACCTCTTTTTTCCTTTTTGTTTGTTCATGGCAATATTTTCTTTAAATAATAATAATTATTTCAAATATAAATGTGAACAAATATTTTCACAAATGAAATTTATTTTAAGCAAGAACAGGAGCAGGTTAACTACCAAAAATTCAGATGCTTGTATTCGTCTTAAATCTACTGACTATTCACCAGACTTGACTAAATTGACGTCACAAGTTCAACATCAGGGGAGCCATTAATATCGAAGAGAACGTTTATAAATAAAGTTCATTCAACTATGTTTGTTTTTATAACAATTAGAATTTTATTAGTTTTTATAAGAATACATAATTAAAGTTTAAAAGCGTATCGTAATTATTTTCTTAATGAAATGTATCTTATTATTCACTAAAAGACTGTTTTAAAATGAAAATATCACTAACCCAAATGCCCCTTTAATATTCACACTGTGGTTGATTTTAACCCGCAGCCAAAAAAGGTTGCCGACCCCTGTTTATAAACCTTTATAAATTGCGTTCTTATTACCAGAACGTTTTGGCATCGCATCCTCTCATTCTATATCACTGTCTAATAACTCACACGAAATCTGGAATCGGTAAGTTGAATAGTTTACAAGTTATGGCTTTATAAACAAATTAACTAATTATTAGTCTGCACAATCCCGAGCATCTTCCACAATTGCACTGATTTTTTTTCATGGTAGATTTCATAATAATACGTTGAAATCTATCATTTTTTTTTTTAATTTCAAATTTGCAACCTAGAATTTTGTTTTATTTTTTAGCCTTAGTTGCAAAATGAAATATACGACGTACGCGTGATATATTTATATATAATTACATATTCAGAAAGCCCATGAAAAGAGCTTTAAGCTAAAAACAAAATCATCAAGATTCGTTGAAAAACAGCGGAGTTACAGACTGTCAAATATATTATTTTCAAGCGAATTTCGCTTTTTTAACGGCAGGACTATGAATATTATCGTCATTTTCTTCGGATTCGTTGTCGTTCGCTTTCCCCACCCTTCCGCCGCGCCACGGCTCGCCGAAAAATCAAACGACCCGACTTTTGACAATATTTCTTATGCACTTAACATACTTCCACAAATAAAATATTTTTATCTGGGAAAGTACTCGGGTTGCCGGTTATGAATGTAATTTGTTTAACAATAGACCGTAAACTTTGACAGTCTGTAACTCCGTTGTTTTTCAACTAATCTTGATGATTTTTTTTAACTTAAAGCTTTTTTTATAAGCTTTCCGAATATGTAATAATATATACCTATATCACGCGCGTGCGTCATATATTTCATTTTGCATTCCAGGTAGCAAATTTCAACTTAAAAAAAAATTTATAGATTTCAATGTATTATTATGAAATCTACCAAGAAAAAATTCAGTGCGATTGTGGAATATGCCAGGCATCGTCCAGACTAATAATTAGTTAATTTATTTATAAGGCCATAACTTTTAAACTATTTAACTTATCAGTTCCAGATTTCTGTGAGTTATTAGACAGAGATAAGGAATGATGGGATGCGATGTCAAAACGTTCTGGTAATAATAACGCAGTTTATAAATGTTTAATTCAAAAATCATAAATAAACTTGTTCTGTTCATAACTTTTGATCTAATCAATATTTTTTGAGCTCGGGGGCTAGTTTTGTAGGTCTTTTTAAGACGAAAAAAAGTACTTTACTGTTTTCTCATGGAAATGAACGAAAAGAAGTTATAAGAGAAAAGCGTGAATTTACGTAAAAATTATACCAGCTTGTAAACAATCTCCCCCCTGTGACTGTGGAACCTAATATGTTATTGTACATAATATTTAGCATCTATAGTGATAAATTGCCGAAACAAAAAGTCACGAAATGGTCATTCCCCAGCTCTTTTTCCTGGCCTAAGTTGCAGTACAACTCTTCACGTGTAAAATAAGCCCTGGAACAAGTCTCTATGACGTCTCAAATACGTAGAAATTAGAATTTGTCAAGAGTCCTTTTTAATAACAAGTTACTTTTAACAAAAATTAATAAATATTTTGAGCTAAAATTTATACCACTTATTAAGTATACAATGACCTTCAAAAAAAGATATAGTACGATTTTTTAGAATAATTAACGAATTTTGATCCAGCGCATCTCATTTAGTAGGTATATTTAATACCTATAAAAAATTATTACTTTTATTCAGTACCATCAACGGTTCAAAAGTTGAACACAAAAAATCGGTTTTTCGAGTTTTCTTTGATTATTTAAACAATGCTCCGCAACCGACAACTGGTCTCAAACTATTGTCCTAATATCCTGACATCTTTCCGAAAATGTTTGATTAATAAATATAACCTCTTTTAATTAGTTCTCGAAAAAAGTCTAATCCGATTGGCTTATATAGGGTGATTCAAAAAACCGCTGACAGACTTCTAGAGTAGATAATAATGAAAAATTAAGACGAAAACATAGGGTTGCAAATGCCTCCTTAACGAGATACAGGGCGTCAAAGCATAGCATAAATTTGAAATAGAAATGTTCAGGCATTTTGGAATTATTGCAGAAAATGTTTAATTTTACAGAAACTTTGACGCTCTGTATCTCGTTAAAGAGGCATTTGCGACTCGGTGTTTATTAAGACTTTTCGTCTTAATTTTTCATGTATTACTTACCCTAGAAGTCCGTCAGCGGTTTTTTTAATCACCCTGTATACTTAACTGTAACTGTGAATACTGGCAACATGCCTAATTGTCCAGACGGTATCTATTTTAAAAAGGGTATACTTGGGTAAAACGCAAATGATCGGACATTTTTGCTTTAACGGCTTCTAAATAACATCAGAAATGATAATTTTTCTATGCAAATAAAAGAAAACGTGGGCTTAAGTAATTGTTATTGCAAAAAAAGTTAAAAAAATAGCAAAAAAGTAATTTTTTTCTTGGATTTCTCGTCGACAACTTAGCAACTATTCGTTTTAGACAAAAATGGAAGTGGGAAAAAGTTTTGTAATTAAATTTTGAACAAGATAGAGTTAGTTGCAATTCGAAAAAAAATTATTGTTGCAAAAATCGGAAAAAATTTAAAAAATTGGAAAAAATGCTAGTTTATTTGTTTTTTTTTATTTCAGACACTTGAATAATACCTAGGAGAAATTTTGGTCGTGAATATTAACATAGTAAATAAATAAACATAACAAAAAGTAACTGTTTATCGGCATGTCAAAAGTCCAATAATTAATAATAAAAGGTAGTTGAAAATAAGATAATTGAATACACCTCATTGATTTCACGCGGTCTTGATTATCTTTGAGTGACATTTTAAATGGGACGCCCGTGATTGCAAATTTTGAAAATTTATATCTGGAATGTACTCGGAATGACAAACCTATTAGTTCAAAAAAGTTATAGTTTTGCTGTAAATAAGGGTTAACTTTAACGGGCTATGACTCCGAAAATAATGAGCGGATCGTTAGTTTTTTTTTTAAATACTCGTCTTTTCGAGTACTTTCAAAACATATTTTAAAATAAAAAAATATTTGAAAAAAAAATTAAATTGCAATTGTTTATAATAAGCGTGAAAATTGCAAAAATGTTTAAACAATCACCACGGCTCACCTGATAGTCCGATTTGAATTTTTCAATAAGCATTTTAAGGCTTGAGAGCTCTTTTTTTTGTGGTGAAATTTTCAAGTATTCAAAGGCTTTAGATTTTTAGAAATTTGATTTTGAAAATTTTTTAATTAAAAAAAATAAAAAAATTAAACAATTATTATGTAAAAACTATCGAACCGAATTGGATGAAATTTGGTGTGATGATTCTATGCACTAAGAAGTTTAATTGGGAAAAGTATGAAGGTCCTAGGTATTATTCAAGTGTCTAAAAAAAATTGACAAATAAACTAGCATTTTTTGCAATTTTTTAAATGATTTTTCCTATTTTTGCAAAAACAATTATTATTTTTTCAAATTGCAACTAACTCTGTCTTGTTCAAAATTTAATTACAAAACTTTTTTTCCTTTACCATTTTTGTCAAAAACGAATAGTTGCTAAGTTGTCGACGAGAAATCCAAGAAAAAAATGAATTTTTTTGCTATTTTTTTATACTTTTTTGCAATAACAATTTTTTTAACGTTTTTTTTTATTTGCATAAAAAAATTATCATTTCTGACGTTATTTAGAAGCCGTTAAAGCAAAAATCTCCGATCATATGCGTTTTACCCAACCATCGTACATATTTATGGACATTTCTGTCTGTTGAATTGTAATAAACGGTATTTTTATTCCATAACAACTTAATTTCCTAAGACTTACCTGAACGTGAGAATGGTGAGAGGCCTGTAGGACTTGTGACTGGCCAAATCGGCCATTGGCGTCCCCCAGAAGTCGTTCTTAAAGACGTGGCTCAGGGGATTAATGGCTAGCACGTCCTTATTAAGCGTGACCGCAGGAATGTCGTCGTGCACGAAATCGCCATTCAATCCGTTCACATAACAGGCGATGGCCACGGTGCCCACCAGGCAGTAGAGCGGCCAGGCGCTGGGCGATTTCCGCCCCTGCGGCTGCCCCTGGGCTGCCTGCGCGGGTCTTCGTTTCATCCTCGCGGAGGTCGCCGTTTTTATCAAGCGAAATTAGTGTTTATTCGAGGCCGCGTTGCCTCATTACGCGTCACTTTCACACTGCGGACCGTAAATTCCTATTTATCCGGAATAAACACGGTTGCGCGGTTAAGAAAACACCGGGGGCGACAAAGACCCGTTCTGTATGTAGATGAACGCGAGGTGTCGCGATAAGGGCTGGTTTATGGGGACGGCTCACTGGGGCGGCAGTCCTTGTCCATTAAATAATAATTGCACTTTTGCTGCGCGGTTGATCACTTCGTACAGCTCTTCGCTGGTCTCGCTTCTGTCGCGACGATTCTAACTGGAATATTTCATGGTTTACAACCCTATGAAGCTCCTTTTATTGTTAAATTTTGGATTCCCTGAAAAAAAAAAACATACTTCTAAATATTTATTTTACAAAATATTGTACAGAATGCTATAATAAACTTCAGAAGTATACGGAATTTTAAGAGACGATAGAATACATTAAAATAAACAAAAAAACCTTATGACGGTTTTCCACTAAACGGACTGTTGAGTTTATGTCCTGCTTGTATTTTCTAGAACAAAAACAAAACTGAAACAAACCCAAAACTATTGTTTCCATCAAGCGGGCTACATTTTGTTAGAGTTTTATTTTTGTTTTCGGTCCTTTTCCACTGGTTGTTGCGAGGAAGTCAGAGCACATTTTTCCAATAACCATGTTTAGAGAAGATTTTTTTAGTCTTAGTTATGGCTGGTTTATACTGAAGTTCTTTGAAAAAGAGTAAGTATATACAGAGTGGCCCACCTCGAACTCCATCGATAAGGCGATAAGTGACAAAATGTTATTGCCGGTCCTGTTTAACATGGTGCAAAAAACATTGACCAGGTCCGCATACCGCACGGCACCTGTGGAGTGTCAGTCAGTGTCAGTACGTTTTTTACTTGCGGGCGAATTGCTGAAGTTATGTAAAAAGATCGCGTTTCTGCTGTTTAGACGTTTCTTATTTTTTATTTTTAAGTTATTGTTTTAACTAAATTGGCAATGGATAACGAGGACAACAATAATACGTTTAATACTATCGAACGTGCTGGCATGATGATAGTGGATGGTGCGGCAAGGGAAAATGCCCTTAGGGCAAGTCGGTTATACCGGGAGCGATAGCCACAACGTCGTCATCCTCATGCAAATACTATTTTACGTTGTGTTCAACGATTGCGAGATACAGGTAGTGTTAACCTTCGTGCAGAACGACGTGGCCTGCCGGTTAACCATGCCATGTAAGTATGCATCTTTTTTGTTTGTCACTTGATAAAATAATAGTAGTCTTTTCTGTAACACCATGTACTTGCACATTATAATTTACAGTGAAATAACTAATTGAATTTTATGTTTATTTTTCCATTTAATTAAAATGAAAGGATTGTATTAAACTGGCCAAAATTATTTATTATTGCATTAAAACATTTTATCTCTTTTGTGTGTATTTCATACATTTTAATTTGGCAACACTGATTTGCGCAAAGACTCGACTCTCTGTTAAGTTCGGTTCGGCAAGCGTGCGCTGATGTCAATCGAATGGCATGACATTTTTTGACCAGGGCCGTACCTACTAAGATTTATTTCTTCGCTACAAAATTGAAGTTCAATTTTCTTGACAAAACGTGGATATATGAATTTCTTATATAAGGCTTTTTTATTGCATATATTCCTAGGAATCTGCATTTTATTTTTTCTGCACTAAAGACGCCACACCCTGTATAGCACACTCCATACTTAGGATTGACCGTTTCCGAGATATTTCGATTTTTAAACAAAAATTGACAGATGCAGACTGTCAGCAAAATTTAGTTTTCCCGGTTTATTTTTTTGTGCAAATTGGACATTTTGTAGAGGAAGACCTAATTTATCGAATTTGACATGAAAATTTTCCAGTTCTCATACAGGATGGTCAAAAAAAAATTATCGAATGTGAAGTTCAGAAAATGTGGAAAACTCGAAATTTTTAAATGGGAACCCCTAATTTTTTTGCAATAATATACAGGGGGTTCCATTTAAAATAAGAAAGTTAGTATCGACTTCCGGTATAACGGGAAATATGATGACCTTGAAAATATTTTAGCTTGGTAGGCCCCACGGTCCGTATCACACCATCACAATTTCAAAAAAATTCTTCGAGCGGTTTCCCACATATCCATCGATGGGGTTCATGGTATATGTACGGATAAAGTGTTTACTTGGTTAGTTAGTTACTTTGTATCCTAGCCAAGTAAACACTTTAACCGTACATATATATTTTTTAATAGCTATAATTCATTAAGGTGGCCATATCCTTGGCCGAGAAATGGTGAAATTTCTGGCATTTTTAGGTACTGAAATCTTGAAAAGTAAAACGTGTAGAACAAAAGTAAGCACAAAAATAAAATCCTTGATGTTTTGTTTATGCATTGTTACCATTTAAATTTTCCCAAATATAATAACTAAAAAAAAGCGTTTGTAAAACATGCGTTTGCTGTTATCCTAACCCCACATTTTAAGAACTATTTTTACGTACATATAAATAAAAGTAAACAATTTTATATGTAGGACTAAGCAAGTAAATGTTATAAGAATATTTACATGTGGAGTTAGGTATATATAAAAAAGTCAGTATTTTCGTAGATTTCAGTACCTAAAACCTTGATGGTTTGATCGTTTTTTGCATCTGTTTATTCGTTTTACTGCGGCGTCTTTGAAAATACTCAGGTGGCATGACATAACATTCCTATGATTTGATAAGCTTTAGATTATTCAGTTATTAAATGTTTGAAATTATTTGTCTTTGCGGAAAACACTATTTAAAGAATATGGGGCCCTTAATGATTAAAATATAGTTTTTGGGAAGAAGAAAACGCCAACTAAGATATTGGGTTGCATCACTTAAATAGAAAACACAACACGACCATTTCCACTAAACAGACTTGTGTTTCAAAACGCGTCGAAACCTTTTGATGTGACCGCTTTCGAGCGGAACCTGAAAAACAAAACTCCAACTGTCGCAAAACACTCCAGTCATTAAAAAGTTTGCGAAATGTTACAGTTTTGTTTTATTCGACACAAGTTTTTGTTTTGTCCTTTAGTGGAAAACCGTCTTTATATATGATATGGGTCCTAAACTCAACTATTTTCGAGAAAAAAATTATCAAAGTACTTGACGTACAAAAGTTAGATTAATTAAGGAATATTGACATAACTGCGTGCATAAAATATAATGTTTATCATTTTTTTCAACTTCTTTATGCTTAATTCTAAAAAATAATTAGCGTTGTAATAAATTTAAAATTCGATAAAATTCATATCGAGCAATGTGAAAACGGCACGGCGGTTTAATCAGTACGCAATTCATTTGGTATCTGGATTCGACTGTGTCGGAGTGTTTTTTGGATACCACTTTTTCCTTTTCTTGGGCTATTTTCCAGCGAGTGCGCGAGAATTGAATTCGAAAGTGTCGTGCGTGCATCGAAAATAGTGGTGGACATTTTGAGCATATGTTGTAGTTTGTTATGTACTTGTGCGTTTAAAAATTACTGAATTTTGCTTTTTGTGAAGTACCTAAATTATTTTTAATACATATGATTATTTGGATGACGTGAATCTTTCGGTACTTTAATTACATATTTTTCACATTCATAATTTGATTAAAAGTTAAGTTCCTGTTTTAAGAGATTCATAATTACTAAAACTCGAGCGAAAATTTAAGCACACCATCTTCGTACTACAAAATCGATACATTTTATTTTATTTATTTAAAAAGTGAAATTGAAATTGAAATCTTGAAATTTACTAAATATTTCACAGTAATAGCTGTTTACATTTTTTCCGTAGGACAAGTCTATCGCGTGTACACGTAGTGTGCATCAGCAGGCTAAGCGCTGTTGTCACGTTGTGATGAAACTCCCCAAATTAATACTCGCTCTATTTTGAAAACTGTTAATCTTACGCTCCTGTAATACACAACTTTTTTGTTCATTTATGATTACTCTATGTCATGCTGAAGTAATGGCAGTCAAACACCCTGTATAAAACATTCCATGTACTACTTTGAACCCGAGCCAGTTTTATTTGGCTGAAATTTTTTATGTTAAGTACTCCACTAAATACTTTTCTGTATTTTTCTTTTCACATTTTTTACTCAACCGGAAAATTTATGGATTTAAAAAATACGCCGTTTTTTCAATTCAAATAGAACATTTATTTTTAAATCATTCATTTTTGAGTGAATTTTTTAAAAACAATTACAAACAAATATATTTAAATCCGACAAAAAATCATTTTTTAAAATCCGCCATTTTTTCTTTTTTTTTACTTCTACATTCATTCATTTTACGTTTGATGAAAAATTTTTCCTTCCAGTTTTTCGCAGTTTAACTTTGTTTTTATAATAAAATAAATAATTTTAAATAAATATATCTATGATATTATCGCCACGGTAGCGCAGTCGGTCGAGAGTGCGGTGACAAGCATTTCTCGGGTAGGCTTCCTACTCTGGTCCGGGTTCGATCCCCGGTGTCGGCACTCGCAATGTCGATAGATAATGGGTGTTTGTCCGCGTTTTTTCAAGTGTAGCCCCCTTCCGCACAGCCTTTGGCTTTGGATTTGGAGGTTGTCTCATTTCTGTGGTGTGTTTTATGTTTATGTTATGTTTATGTTTATTTAATATTTCATATTTCACTTAACCAGAAAATTTTTAAATAATTTTATAGGAATATTTTTTTTTGAATAATAATCACTTAATCATTTCAATTTAATAGTTACCTATTTATTGTATAAGTGTTTTAAGTAGCATTTTATTCACGCAAGAATGTTTAAACGGATAAAGTGGATAAAAGGCAATTAAAACTCGAATGCAATATAACGTTTTATCCATAATCACATCACAACCATTGGAATTTAGTAAAAAATATTCGCACGACTTGATATTTCTTACTAGTACTCAATAAAACGTGGTAGGTTTACTACCTACTGGTTGCTG